AATAAAATAAATAAAATAAATAAAATAAATAAAATAAATAAAATAAATAAAATAAATAAAATAAATATAATTAAACAAATTGGTTGCTTTATGTTTACGCAGAATATAAATAAAACAACAACACCACCATAATAATAATAATAATAAAAACAACAACAAAAAAAGAATAAAAAAAACAAAAAACAAAACAAAAAAAAACATAAAGCAACCACCAATGAGATCAATCATCTACTTATTTTATTATTTTTTAAGTAGAATAAAAATAAAACAACAACAAAAAAAATAAAAAAATAATAAAAACAACAAAAACAAAAGCAACAAAGACACCAACAAGATAATAACAAAAACAAAAAATAAACAAAAAAAAAATAAATAGGTGATTGACATCGTTGGTGGTTGCTTTATGTTTAAGTAGAATAAAAATAAAACAAAAAAAAACAAAAAATAAAAAAGATAATAAAAACAAAAACAAAAACAAAAACAAAGACACCAAAAACATAATAATAACAAAAAAACAAAAAAAATTAATAAAATAAAAAAAATAAAAAAAAACAAAAGTAGATGATTGACCTCATTTGTGGTAGCTTTATGTTTAAGTAGAATATGAATAAAAAAAACTAAAAAAAATAAAAAATAAAAAAAATAAAAAAAACAACAAAACTAAATAGATGATTGACCTCATTGGTAGTAGCTTTATGTTTAAGTAGAATAAAAATAAAAAAAAATAAAAAAAAATAAAAAAAAACAAAATAGATGATTGACCTCATTGGTGGTAGCTTTATGTTTAAGTAGAATATCACTGTCTCTTTTTTCTGCTTCTTTTCTTATTTTATAAATCTTTTGATCGTGAGACAAACGAAGAAAACCCAGCAGCAACAAACGAGCTGTCTGTACACCTAAACTTTCTTCTCGGAATGACGCGGTCATTCCTTCAGCCTCTTCTAGCAACGATCTGTGTATAAATAAATAAAAATAAATATTTATTTTTATTTATTTTTATTTAGTTTTTATTTAGTTTTAGTTTTTCTCTTTTTATTCTGTTTTATATCGCTGCTTTCGGCTCACCAGCAGCTGCCTATACACCCCAGAATATATACAAAACCAAACGAGTATGTCTATCATTTATATAGAGAAAGCAATATAAAAACAAATTTAAATTAATAAAATAAAATAAATAAAATAAAACAAATAAAATAAAACAAATAAAATAAATAAAATAAATAAATAAAAT